GGCAAGGCGTCAGTATGGCATGTCGTTAATGTCGTTTGTTTTTTCCTCAAATCCTTACATGGGGTTGCTCGATTTGTCCAGTTGCGGGACTAATTCCATCTACTTGTCGTTGGCACTCGATTCACCGCAACAGTCAAGTACCAAAAACTGTGGTGTGTTGTGTTGTATAAGCTGACTTGTACACACGTGCCAGTTTATATCTAAAACTTGAGCGCGGATCTAAATATCTGTGTTAGCAATCCATTGGCGCCAACTTTGTCTGGACAATCAGTCAAACAGGATGAAGATGTGAAAGTCTGAGCGCCGTCACAATAAAAACCTCAAGACACCTTTGAAATACCTGCAAAGTGACATAGGGAACAATAATTTTTGATAAATTCAATTCATACTAAGAGGGTAATTAATTAAAAAAACGTTAGAATATGTTTAAACTGTCATACTCATCTAAAAGTTGTGCGTACAAACCATGAAACATCGCTCTAAAAATGAAGCATCAAAGATGTAAAAGAAAACAAGGAGAAATATCAACTAAATGTCAACACTGAATACCCCCTGACTTCCTCGTATCATACCAAACGATCTCATACAAGGTTTCGGGGGGATGCGCACCGCCCAAACCGATCGCTTACGTGCACATTTTAAATTATACTTACAACGTACTACCGAAAACAAACAGTAGTCACATTATACCGAATTTAAAGCACCGCTGTTTTGCAGCGGGCTACACCGTGCTAATACCGGCAAAGGTCACACACGGCTGTTAGCTGATCAGAATTGCACCCCCTAAGTTAATTAAGACTTGTACCAGAGTGACGATGACAATGGCAATTTTCTTCCATAAGTTAGGCAGCAAAATGAATTCCGAGGCAGTGCATTTGCTGCCGGCTATAAACATAGAACATAGACATAAACATAGAACATATAAACATAGAACATAAACATCGAACATAAAGGGTACAAATTGAGCGCTTGACAAGTTCCGTAGAATGAGCAGAGCCTGGATTAGTAGACCAACGGTAAAAATGATAGAAAAAGAGAAAAATTCCGTATTAAGCCATTCAAATGGACACTGATGTAGGTTTCTTCACCGCTCCGTTACGGTGAGGGCTGATGAACACACGGTTTGGTTCGCGTTATTTCGTCCTCCGAGTGAAACGAACCATATAACGTAATGTAAATGTCATAGTGTGTCCTCAAAGCGTTATTTAAAGCGTTAGTGTTAAGGCATTAATGAAGGGAGTTGTAAGCGCGTTCCATGTTCGGGACACCCGAAAGAGCAGAATGTTTGTCGGCAATCAAGTCGTCTGTAGAGCGTGGCAAGTTTGAGCTGGTGACCTCTCAGGTTAGTAGTTTTGCTGAGTTGCAACAGATCACGACAGGAGTGATTTGGAATTAGCCAGTATTAGGTTAACCATGGTTAGGTTACCTCGATGATAGCTCTGTACTAGCAAAATACCTACAGTCCCATTTGGTAAAACATATGAAACATGCCCCTAACTAATCTGGTTGCTTTACGTTGTGGAGCTTCAAGCGCATCAGAATCGTGCCTGCGCCAGACACGCCAGACTTGGGTAGCATATTCCAAGTCAGAACTCACTTTGACGTTCAGAATTTGTGAAGACAGAAGGCTCAGATTTCCAGAACGCCCTTCGTTGGAGACCAAGTTGTTGAGTAACTATTCTCGATGCTTTTACGGTCTATTTCGAGCAGCCAAGGTCATGGTGCACAGGTACTCCGAGATCACATTCCTAGGAATCACGTAGCAACTGCTGGCCACGAAATAGATTTTCATGGATAAGCTGATGGCGTATGCCCACGACATTGCATTTCGCCACGTTGAATTTGAGCCGGTTTTCGGATGACTACGTATAGGCGCTGTCGAGATATATCCGCAGTGCCGTGTGATCGTTCACTGTCATGTGGTCATGCCCTACCTTAGTATAGTTTGCATATAGTAGGACGTTCGACTGGAGTACACTAGCAAGATCAGTGATGAGGACTAGGAATAAGCAAACTGGACTAAAATTGGGTCGGAATTGGAGTTGCGAACTCTCACATACAGCTGAAATTTGATGAGCTAGTTACGTGTCTAACTCAGGACTGGATCGCCGATTCCATAGTTGCAAAGTTTGTGAAGCATTATGTGGTGATCCATGCGGTCGAACACCATTGAAATATTGAAAAAATTGACAAGTATTCTGGTATCGACCACTTCTGTCCAGATTGCTCTAACCAGCAGCAGGTTCATTGTGCAGGACTTATTTCGTGTTGCAGTGGCACTTTGATGTTGGTACTCTCAAGGTATCCCATGAGCACCTCTGCAATAATACCTTCCATTACTTTGGACCACATCAGGAGAAGAGTGACAGGATGACAGTTCGGGGGCCCGCACGATTGCCACTTGTATATAGGAGTGACTATCCCTTTATTCCAAAATATATAAAATCCGTATTTCATCACGGCATTGTTGAAAGAATCGGGGTAACGGATCGGCGATTTTCATGTCTACTGTCTTTAATGCCTTCGGCTTTATGTCGTCCACGTCAGATGAGCTGTGCACGCGTAAAGTTAATAGTCTTTTTATCATATTAACCGCAGTAAAGAATGCGTGGTCTAATCCAGAGAACGGCGTGAGTTGTCAAAAGCAGGTAAGATGACAATTCATTCTAGAAATACGGGTACATTGTTACCGAAGCGTGTTGCACGCCCCTTATGTAGTTCGTGCCAGACTATCTGCTACACGTAGAACTAGGATTCCGCGCTGCACGCTGAGGAGTTTGTTGATGTGCCAGTACAGTATTTTAGGAGTAATTCTGAACTTCATTGCCAACTCCTGTTTGGACAAGGATTATCTTCACGAACAAATTTGACGCCATCGTTTCGCTGAGTTGTGTAGGCACATCTGGCGTATACGCTCGGACAGGGCGTCAGGCTGAATCTCTTGAGGCCATGCATTTTAGAGTCCGGTTCCTCAAAAATCACTTCGTTTGCCTTGGCCGGAAGACTGGCTTCTGATGCATTTGTCACTAGCCAAATGAACTGCATGACAAACTTGCTCCAGTCTACCTCGAAAAGCTATTCCACCAGGGTTGCAGAAACGAGGTCAGACAGGGTGTATCAATGGGTTAAGACTTGGATTTCCTCTGTATTTCCATTGATGTATTCCTCTCCGCAGATCTAACGAAAGTGTAACATCGCGTGATCACTGCAGTTAGGGATGTACCAGTGGTTGCGATATCGACCATTAATTCGTCGTTCAGAATAGTCGTTCGTCACTCCTTTTGTACCGCATGAGTTAGGTAAAAGGACTGCAGCGATTACCTCTTGCAAATCCACATTGAGTGGTTCGCTGAGAGAAACTGTGATTTCAACGGTTTACATCTTAAAGTCCTACGCCAGGAAGATGTGACTGTATTATCATATAAAGACAAGATTCATAGCAGAAAAAGGCAATGATCCATTTCTAAGTTAGACATTGAAAGGCGGTACACTATTGCTCCTAAGCACACTTCACCATTTCTCAGGTTCAAACGACTCAAAGATAATCGACAACGCATTTCTGAACCGTCGATAATATCGATATACAGATCAGAATGATAATACAACATTACCCATTATCTTCTGCTGGGCTGATGGTTTCGTAGGCGAATCATGCCTGGCAGGGCTAGAGAGCGATCAATAAATAGGATACAGCTGATTGGCACCTTTGGGATGTACTCTAGTTGTCCCTGTGAATAACATTAAACTAGCAGTGCGTAAGTAAACGTAGCAATAACTGCATTAGAACGTTCTAAAACATATATAGGTAACAAGAGGTTGGGTGAATTTGAGGCTGATCTGAAGGGCTATCGGTTGTAGACGGCTACAAGTGATTAAAAATAATACAATGTAATTTTTTGTGTTTTTTTAAACAAACCTTTGTCTAATTTGGTGTATCGTTGTGTTTTATTGTGTTTACAAGATAACCGTTAGTTTAACATCAGATTTCTTGTAAATATGTTTGAATATCGATTTTCAATCTATCCATATTTACTTGTACTAACATTCCGACATACTAAAACTGATGCTTATAACAAGATATTAATAACACGCACTTTCTAATCTATGTTTTTTTACGTCGAAACCGCTTATCACCAGCACTTGTGCAATCATGGTACTTGCGCACTAGATATACCGCGTAACTGTCACCGAAGGTTAGTTTCGCGGTTCCCATCGAATCAATCCTCCCGGCAGGGTTCTCTCAGTATTATGAATCTCACTTTCAGCCATGTTTCGGTTACCATGACCATGACGTAAGACGTTGAAGCCTGATGAATAGGAAGCTCGGTTATCTTGCTGAGAAGACTTTGTACGCTGCTACTCATGCAGATGAGGGTCTCAGACATTAGAAGCATATTTGTGGATGCGGATTATATTTGGGAATAGATGTGGAACCTAGTGGAGTCAGCTTCAAGTAGCTGTTGCTGAACGACTGACACCAGTTTTTGTGCAGAGTGCTCAGTGTCAATAAGGAGGCGATAAGCTAGAACTCCTTCATCTTCTCGAGGGTACTGACATCGTTTCGGTTCTGGGCAGCATACGAGGAGTCACATACGTGGTATGATTATTCAGTGTTAACTTGTCTACTTGTGGTCGGGTGTCCATGGCCTTTATACCAAAGTTGGATGACAGCCTTCTTCGCATTCTGTCACAATTCAAAGGACCTCTCTGACATGCGTTTGGATTGCAATGTTGCTTATATTACTCGTGAAGTGCAGTTTTTGTATTTGGAGGAAAATGCTAACCTTGCTGACTAAATCGCGATTATATTTCCGAGAAAGTACTTCACGGATGAAGCGCTATTCATCCCAATCATGTGTTTGAGCCTCCATTTCGTTTGAAGTCTGAAGCTCGGGGTCAAGGTGAAGTTGCATGACAGTATTTGCAGCCTTTTCTGGTCACTTTTTTCAAGTCATCTTGGATACTTTACTCCTGCTACTTTTCTTTTTCTTCCCATGTAGGCGGATGCATTTGATAGTTATACCGTTTATCTGGTGTATATCGACAACTTGGTCAGACAAGTCACGGTTCTGACTGGCGACGATTCAAACCCCCACTTTGCTCTCAGCCGCCCAAGTTCGAGTCCGGTGACCCCGGTTGATGGAGTGGAAAGCACAGCCTCGCTACTCAGCCAGCGGACAACTCTGTCTTTCAAACATTTTATGGAATTGGTTTACATACCACGACTTCGAATTACAACTTACAGGAGCTTACTTCAGGATGTTGCACGCTACACGGCTCGAACTGAAGAAAGTACGGAGCAGCTGGAATCAGCCATGACCTTGTTGGCCCGAGTTACACGGCGTGCTGAAGAAAGTGTGATTCTGTGGTCTCAGTTGGAAATGAGTGACGTCCGTTTCCCGCAGCTCGCAAAGGAGTTTGCGTTGACTCACACCCCCTGGTTACTGCCACCAGCGCTAGTCAGACTGGTGAGATTCTTATGGCTACTTTAGTGTTGAAATACACAAATCTCGCAAAAGAAACTTTCATCAGATAGCTGCGACAAGCAATCACTTTATTCATATTTTGTATGAATGTATACTTTCTATGATATCAGCAAACAACTTAGCAGATAAATGTGCCCTCAGAGTGATCTGGGGAACGCAGTATGATGCTCAATAATTCCCAGATTCCCCTGAACTCATCAAACATATTGGGCTGCTTCGATTCACCGTGGGAATTCTTAGATTTGTGGTACGTTGTTCACATAAGAAAGTTATAGCTGACGCTGGCGGTTTAAAGTGAAACCTATTACCTCTGCTAGGACTGCATGGGGATACAATGCGCCATCCGCCTGCACTGAATTAGGATCAAGGTATCTCGGTATTCGCAACAATCTTTTCACGTTGGTGTAGGTGTATATTTGCTAGCCTTTAATATTTTACCTTGCACTTTTAAATGGAAACAGTCATGCCTTAGTTGCGGCTGCTTTGTGAGGGCTAACTGCTCCGGATGATCTGAGCCGTTGCGTACATAAAAAGGCGCCAGCACTCTTTAAGACGCTGCTGTTTTCACGGAGGCACGGTAAAAGTTGACTCACATACATCTTGGGGATCGACTTGAATCCGTCGGAGGTTACTTTTCGCATTACGAAATTTATGCTCTCAAATACCTAATGCATTGTTCAAATACACACTACAGAGGCCACGCCACGACATACGTGCGCGACCCAATGACACTATAGCATTGTGACATTATCTAAACTCTAGGTATGAGCCCAGGATTAGACGGTTCGATGTTTTGCAGTGCATGGGCGGTTTTTCCACGTACTTCCCGACCGTAATTATGACTTTGTTTTTACAACTGCATTTCGGTCTCAATACTGGCGTGTACACAGCGTCTAAGTAAGAATGCAACAACTTTTCGACTACAATGATCGTTAAGCTGGTCCAAAAGTCCGCGTCGTAATCACTTTTTCTCTGCGTTGGAATGCATTACCTCATCAATTTGAATAGCACAATGGGGTAAAGAACACTGTCAGATGCGCAAATATCCTATCGTCTCATCAGCGCCAGTGCAACAAGAAATGATTTCTATAGTGGTCGAATGATGTAACCAAGCCAAAATCATATAGAGGGTAACTAACCGTGAAATCTATAAGACCACGGCAACCGAAAGTTGATAACTAATTGTCATTGCGCGTACAGGCTTAATTCCCGACTTATCACTACAGTCGCGTGAACCCCGAGATAAGTGAATTATGGTGATGTAATAACATCCGAAACACCGAGATGGAATTAATCCAGCGAAGGGACAGCAGAATGGGTCTGTTTACAAATGATGCCAGCTGCTTATGTGAATCACGGCATTGAACAGGGGTTGGTTGACCACAAGTTAAATCCAACTACGCTGTTGTTTCTTTAACCCATAATTCAAAAAACCCTGCAAATCCTGCCCATATAACTGAATTCTAACTCACCAACAGATTGGTGAACGCAATTTAGGCAATTCAAAAGTAATGCCGGTGCAGTAAGAACAAACAAGCGCTTAATCTCTGCCATTCAGTGAACTTGTTGTACTGTGGAGGGTGTATTAATTGAAAGAACCAAGTACATGTTGCTTCCAGTAGGCTAATCGGCTCATTGCAAAGTCTTTGTCAAGCGATGGCTTGGTGTACCGAGAGAAAACCTCAACGAACGCGCGTGCTAAGTAAAATGGATCTTGTCTTCATTACATTTCAGAGGACGCACTTCGATTTTATATTTACTGGATACTCAAGTGCACTCACCTGACAACAGCTGCAAATGCATTATGGAATGTGGTATGAGTTCATTGCTTATCTATAGAGATTTTTGTATGAACTTGGAACACCTGACCTGGGAAGTGGTTTTGGATTGAAATACTGCTTTATCTCTGTTTGGATAGGTGTAAATATTTGCTATTAGTGTAATCTTGGCCAGGCAACCTATTTTGTTTGTATCCGTTTGCTAACCGAAATTTCGACACCTAAACTAAAACCCTAACTAACTAGACCAGAAAGTGTCTACGTTAAAAGTTTGCGTTGCTGATCTATTGTTTGAGTACTACTGCATCCCACATAATATTGGGTTTGACGTATGATGTAAAGGCAGAAGTGCGCATTTTCCCCTTATTTTCAATGATTCTCTAAATCTACCAACATTTTTTCTAGCCACTTATAAAGCTGTCATACTGAGGAACACTGCAATATTGGAAAGACTGAAATATGTTTCTTTGTTACGACCAAAGAGAAATAAAATAATACTAATCTGCGATTCAATTTATGAAACTTATTGCCGTTTGTTTTTCAGACTGATTTAGAAACGAATCTGCGTGAGGATATTTCCCCTAATCCGGAGTGCACACAATCTGGACGCTTAGTCTTGGTACCAACTCAATTGGTATTCATGCTTCCGAAGAAAGATAGCGGAGTTACGTCGTCTTGGAATATAGCATGGATTTTTAAGGTAATCCTTGGCAGATTTTGTCCCATAGCTTGGCTCAGGGAATATTACTATCAACACCATAGAAGCACTGCGATTCTTACTGTCTGCTTGTCGATTAGAAAAGACTCATTCCTGGCTCTCGGTTTTCAAACACGCAATGTATCAAACCCTGACCAGAAATGAGAACTGGGTTGAACAAAACCTGGTGTGTATAACAAACACCCCTGTCGACATAAATCTGGTTGGGCCATCAAGAATTAGTATAGTGCTTATGCTGCCATATAATGTATGTGGATTCATGAGTGATTAAAAGCAACCAGAGTGAATGAATGCATTCAAGCTAGTGTGTCAGTCAACGAATTTAGGACGAAACAAGCTTTTTCATGAACATGGGGCTGAGCTGCAAGAAGCTATTAGGAGTTAGTGGCCGGAAGAATACTTTGTTAGACAAAATAATCATTCATCTATTTCGACTGCATTTTACAACAGTCAGGTAAGTAAAGCACACAACAGTGATGCCAAAGTAACGGTTTCTTGTTTATGACAGCTTTTCTCTGGGCGTCTCACGTATGATCCCATTTCGTTCATTTTAAGATTCAAGCGCAGTAACCTACATGAAGCTGACGCCGAAATACTCACTGGTCTTTGTTAAACCGATTGTAGTGGACAAACTACCAACCAGATGTGTTTTCTCCGAGTGAAAATCATTTCTATAACGCACCGCTCATTTGTTTTCTACAATTAGCTGGAACACCTGCGTCTCGGGGACTTTTCGACCATGACAGATGAACCACTTTGGTTCGACTTATGGAACGTGGAAGGCCCTGATCTAGTCAAAACTGTGATTCGCGTATTCTGTCGATCGTTCATCAGCCAGAATGCTTGGATTGAAGACGTCCGTTGTGCCTTAGTTTCTACTCGTAAGTACTTTTTAAATCAAGTCAAAACACCTCAATCATCAACGGTCGAATCGGTGTAGTTCGGTGTAATCAAGTGTACGTAATACATTTTGCTTTGGCCGCACGGTATACTGACAATATCTCAATTTACAGCGTTTCCATTTTTACTTTGAGGATTTCTTTGTCACTTAGGAGGCTCAGATCGAGTTCTTATGGAGTTCGTTTGCCAGCTATCAACGAATTGGAAAGCAGGAAATTGACTTTGACTGCACTAACACTAATAAAAGTAGACGTTTGCGCCAAATTAAAACACCACTTCATGACAAGCTCCAAATTTTAGACCCCTCTGTTGGGGTAGCACGGCTGATTTGTACAGTTGATCGTGCTGTCACTGGCTGAAAACCTTTGTTACAGGCGATCATAATATGAGCGCAACACTAGTAAAAGCTTTAGGAAGTGTTATTGTTGATTTAACTGGGCCTCCCGTAATAAAAATGGATTCTAACACATTGTTTAAATGCTCCTGGTTTCCTTGAACAACTTTGAGTAACGGCAGCAAGAGACGGCAAACCTCCCAATGTAATTTTCAAGCTTACAACCGTAGTCTAACTCGTTATAAGGAGATTCGAGAACGATGATGTCAGTCAGACTCTACAGCAAACCAATTTTTAGATAGTTCTTTCTACAAATCGCATTCCGTTTCATAGGCGCCTTATTCATCTCATACATATTTGAGTCATGAAAAGACGCGAGGAGGATCTTCAATACGAGTCATGAAGCAGAGTTCATTTGGAGCTACAGGATATGTACGCACTTAAATGCTCTAAAAATACATTGAATCCCCGAGTAGAAGTGACCAACCGTCCTGCTATTACTATACCGTAAACTACGACTCACCGAGCCCACTCAAAACGGAAGACCTCCGTTGCATGTTAAATGATAAATGATAAATGTTATATTCCTCGGTGTTTCGAGGTGCAGTCCAACTATGTGGTCTGATCAATGTCTAATAACAGTAAGGCCATTGACTAAGTGATGTAAATCAGCTGATACAGTATGGTACTGAATCAACCACCTGAATATTTCTGGGACAACCAGTTGCTTTGAAAGCGCATGAATTGGTTGGGTGGGCGAATGCATCCACGGACGGTTTGTACGATCCCACCAGCACTTGCTTTGATTTTCGCACCCCTGTGCATTTGAAACCTTTGGCATGAAAGTTAGGCATACCGGCTCGGTCCGTCTTTTGGGCACTTGCCTAAAACAGAACCCTATCATTCATAGTGAACCAAAAGCAATTTGAGCTCTTTCATGCACCACAACAGCCCTGCGTCGCACCGTGTAAATCGGCATTATGATGCTCAGTCAAGGCAAGGAAGCGTCGGACAGAGCCTGATTGGTAAGAAATGCACCAACAATTTGTCGAATTACATATACAGTTCCCGGTGAGGGGTATTAGATATCAGTGGTCGTTGGTGATTAAAACGGCGAAGGAAACCACTCGGTTAGTCACGATGCAACAGTCTTGTTTGATTTATAACATACTATGCCACCGTCTTGGATAAGTTCCTACGGAAAAAAGACGTCACTCGTGCCAAATTCAATGTGAATCCGCTCAAGAAACCATCGAATCGAGGAGATGGGTACTGTAAATTGGCTTCATCTTAATAAAACAGGACGTTCGAGTATGCTAGACAGATCTTTAGTGATATGCAAAGCATCCCTAGATTGCCAGCCACTTGATTCGGGTTCCCATAGGTCCAGTACACTCATAGTTCGATTAGCTTACATCTTTTGTGCCCCTAATTAATCACGAAAGCATTCTCTGGGAAGTATGTCACTTAAAAATTTGGTCTCCAACCTCGTTTTATATTGCATTGGGGCTGACAGTGTTCATCCTACCAGTAGGGGCCGGCAAAATCCACATCCTTAAATGTACGGAGGCGTTTTGTGTAGGAGACAGACACACTTTCTACCTTGACAACTGCCGTCACTGTGTGCACCCAGTGAGGAGAAACCAATGGGGGGTTGCTATCACGAACCAGTCAAGCAATCGATGAGTTTGTTCACTAACCAGCCGCTGTCAGCCCCACTGGTTGCTTCAGGCTTCACATCCCATTGGCTAATACCTAATTACATATAAATATGATGGTAAATCAGTATTTGACCCTTGTGGAGTACCTAGTAGTTAGGCGAATTCGGATCGCGTTCAGTCCTTTCGTGTTTTCGTTTTACAGTTTGTTGTGACTTTGAGGAAACCCATGTACCAGATGCTACAATACTAGCACACGAGCAGGCTGCTTTGCAACGACGTATCCAGTATCCTGAGGAAATGGAATTACCTGACCTTCGACGCGAATCCGTAACTGAGATTTATGTGGATGCTAGAGAGGATATACAACAGCTGAGCTTTCAGTCCGTCGAATCCATGCTTTTGCAACCGAAGGACATGGACTCATCAATTGGTAAGTTGCTAATTGTGTAAAAAGTTCCGTGCATTGTGATTGAGTAAACCACTTTCTAATAGGGTGCACCTTAATTGGTAGAGGCCAAGGCCGAAACAGTATACGTGCAGGAGATAGAGCAAAGTACGTGTCGGCGGTTGGTAGATCGCAGACGGAGTTCGCACAAAAGGGCTTGAGTACTTTCAGGCCTAAACAGATAATGTGGCTGCTGCGCAGTGAAGCAAACCAAGGGTGTATTTTAACACGTAGACCGTGTAAGTGACAGAAAGTTCGAACACTTTGGCAACACGTTAATAATGTAACCTGACATGGACCTAACTTGATCTACGCTGTTAGTAACAGCAAATAAGGTTGTAAAGAAACAAAAATTTCGGCTTTTACCGAATTTTAAAACTTTGTGAAAGGTTCGTGCTTTAAAGAAATATGACCAGCTGGGAAGCGCAATTGAAGCAAATCAAAAAAGTAACCGGGCAACACAGTTGTGCAGACAGCCGTACATGTGCGATGATTCAGGCCGCATTGTGTGGATCTGTCGCGCGCAAATTTTATGTGGTTACCATGCTGTCGGCTTACGACAAATAGGCGTTCTTATATAGGCCCCCAACTCTTAGTATCTTTCTGCAATAGGAGGAAATAATATCTGCTACTGAATTTCTTATCTGCGTAACTAAGACAGCACATGTTTGTGTCTGGGAGAAATATGGTGGTCTTTTGCGTTAAATGCAAATGATAAGACGGGTCAGATGAAAACTGGGGGCTGCCCGCCCGCAAACACTGCACTCCTATAACGCGTTTCGAAGTTATTTTATCTCCTCAGGTAGAGATAGCAGGCATCGAAACGGGGACCATTAGGATGTTAGTTGTGACCGCTACCCCTACGCCAGCGTGTCACGACGTGCAACGTCTGGCACGACGGTTAATGGTTTATAGTGAGGGTCATTTTGAACTAAAAGAGAAGACAGGTGTTAATGGTGAATGAAAGGTTGCATACATGAAATATGTGTGCGTATGGTATTGCACGAACTAGCATGTATTTAGGTTGCGTTATGATGGCCAAAATTTTACAAATTATAACTGGAGACAGTGGTGAACCTTGTAATACAAGCCTGAGTAATGATCTACTATTAACTAGAAAGATAACTGGTGCGGTAAACTACTGGTTACATCCTATGAACTCCTTAAATGTGTCTAAACGCTTCAGCCCTTAGAGAAAAAATTTAATTTTCAACCCCCGACGGTTCATCAGACGGGTTCAATTCATGAAAAGTGATCGTTAGGTCCAAACTGGATGGACACACTGGGTGTGGAGCACAGGGTCGTGACAAGGCGACTGAGGTGAAAGAGCACAAGGGCCGAATATAATCGTGGTGCATAATGTCAGTTGAGGTTACTGCAGATAAGATGCTCCAAAGTTAACCAGGTTGATCCCAAGACCGAAACTCTATACATGCTGACGACAGAGCATAGCACGTGTCGGCAATGGGTTAAACCCATACAGACTGCGCAAGTAAAAACTTGAGAGATCAAGTCGTACCAGGACATGCAGACCTAAGTGCGTAGTGAGATCTTGACGCAGTGAAGTAGACGAATTATCATTTGTTCCGCAGCTTAAAGTGGGAGATGATAAAAGCAAAAGGGCAAACATTTTGGTTCATCTATGCCTGAAAATTAATCATTTACATTCTTTGGTGACGTCGGTAAATTTGCTGGTTGCTATTATTAGTTTTCTGGCCAGCCAGTCACTGTGGATGCAAGCAACCCCGTCCAAATATTAATCATGGATTGTCAATGCCTCATTAAACGTAGCTCGAGTCAAATACCCCATAAATTTCAAAAGGAAAAAACTCCGAATGCTTAGCAGTTGACATTCATGACTGTTTTAACACACACTCACGGTCCAAAGGCATACGTTGAATTTCCTGAACGTAAGCGCGGAATCCGCAGGAGTCTGCGGCAACCCCACCACAAATTACATTTTCGCACCTCGTTACGTAGAACCCATCCTGTGGGTCATCCACCACACAACTGGACTAGCACTCTAGGCTATAGGCTATTTGCACATTACTTTGACGTGGTCACTAGCTCAAAGTCATCTGTTCGTCACGAAGTGATCTGTAATTAACTTGGCAAAGAACACCGTTAGTTTGCACTTGGTGCTCCGACCTTCATCCAAGACTTTGCCATCTGAGACACACGCTTACTTGTTTACCAATGCGCAATGTCCTCTACGAAGATAGTTGAGCTTCGATCCTGTTACTTCGCTGTAGTTTGGGGTCGTACCGTGATAATCGACGCCTGGCTGGGTGACGATTCCGAGCTTACATTCGGTGATATTGTCTCCTTACCCAACAGCCGTCCTCCGCAGTGCCCAGTATTTCGCATTCTTTACTAACCTAAGGGCCCATGGTGCTGACTCTCTTTATTGCAGTTGTACCTAAGGCGTAGAGATGCAACGTTGGCAGATGACATGTGTCTTTCTCAACTGTTCACCCCAGAAACCAACTATCGTATAAACACCGTTCTTAGACAGGTATACTGTGTCGTTACGGCGGTTGGAAGCTTCAGCCCGCACAAATCAGAAAGTCCATCCTCGCTCGTTAGGTAATTTGAGAACAGAGTGCGACGGCAGATCGCTGTTCTGCCATTGACAAACATGCTATTCCCAACAACCTATCCAGAACTGGAAGCAAACTGAGTTTTCCGGGCTTTATGTTCATCAGTGACGGGCTCAAAGTGGACACTGTAATATTGGGTACTCCTGGATGCTAAATTGCGCCTACTACGCTGCTGCTTCGCTGCGCCTATTATGCCGCGCATTTCAAAGGACACAACGAGGAATGATGCACTCACAAAAATTACCCCACCTCATCTGACCGCATTGAACTAACCAATTACTCGTTTCTAACTGAAGAGCTCATATGTCGTTCCGAGAGTACTAGTTGGCCAGATGATAATTTTTCTAGCTAACCTATCTCTCGCTCAAACATACTTACGCCTTGGTTTAGGGTTTAGGTGTGGCGCTCTCCCATACCGGCACTCCGCGACCGACGGTTTCGTCCTGCTTCGTACGCATCAGGTAGAGATAGCCTGAGTTGGGAGTGGAACTCGGCATCTGATGGTTGGTGGCTATCTCCATGAGCACTTGACCATTTAGCTCTACTCTAACAACCGACAACAAACCGAAGCCACACTTTTGGAACATGGAGCCGAATGAACAATGAACAATGCTTTATCACGGAATGAAAGCAACTGCTTAACACGTCCCGTAGAATGGTTGGGATGAATATGATGAAATCAAAGTATATCTGGGTCATCTACCGAACGTCTGCCGAGATGAATACTTTGATAAATAACATCAGTGTAAAATCAAAAATAATCAAGCATAAATGTTCAGAAAGACACGGGTGCGGTGATCGTTGTCGTAAGACGTAAGGAAAGTAAAATATGGTCGCCCACTGGGGTCCATTTGATAGATAAATCCTGTTGAGAAGCATGCTTGGCCTAATCCACAATAGAGGAGTTTAGGTAACAAAATGTTGGGAGCTAAGAGCAACATCTAATCGTTTTTAGAAAATGTCCGAGGTAGGAGAGAATACAACTGCATCTGGGAGTGCGTTCCAGGGTTGGCAAACCCGAAGGGAAAAGTGATTCCGTCGATACTCTAGACGGCTATATTGTTCCTTCAATTTTAAGCAGTTACCCCTGAGCTGCGTGTTGTGGCTAAGTTTCAGCAAATGGCGGCATACGTGGTTGGGGTCACTCAATATTTGATACGCTAATATGAGATCGCCGCGCAGCCTTCGATAGCGCCCGCTGAAAATTCCCAGCAACTTCAGCCTTCGGTGGTAAGAGTGATACCGCAGGCCCATCACGTTCTTAGTTGCTCTCCGTTGTGGTGCCTCTATCGCTTCTAGGTCGCGTTTCAATCAAGGTTGCCAAGCTTGGATTGCGTACTCAACATGCGGGCGCACGTAGGAATTGAGCATCATTGGGAAGATTGATGGGTCAAATCTCCCGAATGCCCTTCGCAGCATGCCGACGTGCTAGTTGCCTCTTTTCGCAGCTACCTCAGACTGTTTTGAACAGTTGAGGTCGCTCTGTACGATCACACCAAGGTCACGTTCCTGGGAGTTGGTCTGCAAGCCGTTTGCCCCAAGCAAAAAGGTGTAATTATGTCCATGGCGTAATTGTACAACGCGACATTTGTCTACGTTGAACGGTAGGGCGTTTTGAACTGACCAGTTCGACACTGTGTTAACATCGCACTGGAACCGTCCGTGATCGTCCGGTCCTCTGAGCTTTCGTTATATCTTGATATCATCAGCGAAAAATAGAAAATCGGAAGCAATTGATCTCGTCAAACAGTTAATGAACACGAAGAATGGACGAGGTCCAAGAACCGAGCCTTGTGGTACTCCACACGCCACATCGATTGCATCGGACAATGATTCTCGGACCCTCACCACTAGCCGTCGTTCTTGTAGAAAATTGTCAATCCAACTCAGGATTGGGTCGCCAATACCGTAATTCCGAAGCTTCTGAAGAAGACTTCGATGTTCTAAACGATCAAATGCTTATGTAAAGTCCAGGTAGATGACATCGAATCCTATTTCATCACCAACAGCTTCAGTTCAGATAGTACGTGCGATTAATAGGTTAGTATTACACGAATGCTTTTGACAAAAACCATGTTGCTCTGGGGCTATTAAGTTGTGAATTTCCAGGTATTCCATCAGCGCATCTGCGATTATTGATTCCATCAATTTGGATAGTACATGAACTAGTGTTATTGGACGGTAGTTGGCAGGATCAGTGCGACTACCTCCTCTATGGATAGGAGTGATGACCCCTCGCTTCCATACTGGTGGAATATGGTTCTGTTCTGGACATCGCTGATAGAAAACAGCCAGTGGTTCTGCTAGATCACTAACTACTGCCTGTAGAGCCTTTGGTCGGATGTTGTCGGCTCCTGGAGAACTGTGGATACGTAAGGATAACAA